GAATTTTCCTGACGATTTTTAACAATGGTTTTTACAAAATGTTTAAAATTACTATCTACTGTAATGGAAATGCTAAGAATATACATGCTTTGAATGACAAAACTTATAAAACTTAGCTATTACTTAAGTTAGATATTAGTATAGATCTTATTACACATGTTAGTATGGTTCTTATTATTAAGGATGATTAAGAATAAATACTAAGAAAAACATGTTTCAGAAAAAATAAATTAGTAGCACCAAAAAAAACATAATAGCTTAATTGAGCGCTGTATTTTGAAAATGTGACAAGTCACAAAATTAAAATTTTACAGGAGAGTAAAAAACATTTTTCCTAAAAAAAATTTTGTTTTTATTTTAACTAAAATTTTTTTTTTTTTATCAAAAAAAAATCTTTATTTTATCTAAAAAATCTTTTTTTTATCTTATAATTTTATCTTTTACTAAAAAAAAAATATTCTTTTCAAATAACCTCAATTTTAAAAAGTGTGACTCTTCACGTTTTCAAAATACAGCGTTCAATTGTGAAATGAGTAACTTCTTAACTAGAATTACTGACTTTTCCATGACTATCTAGAAAAAAAAAATATTTCCCTGACTTTTCCAGGTTTTCCACCACTTTGGCCAATATTAACATATTTTCCAGATTTTCCAGGTACAGTACAGACCTTGTCCAATGTTTGAATATAATTTTTTTTTACATATTTTAGTTCTGAATTTTAATAATACAATTTAAAAAATAATATCATCTATAAAAATATCGTATTACCTTTGTCTATTAGATAAATTTAAATAAACGTTTATATAATAAATAATAATGAACCACCAGCAACTGTTAAAACTTTAAACTAATATGAATAGTCTGTTGTTTTTTTCAACAGTTGATTTCAAATGGATTTCAAAGTTGGTGACTTTGAAATCCAACAAAAAATTTTTGTTACGTTCATAAACATAAATGTTCTCAAAACGACTGAAAAACCTGGCCAGTTCTTCGCAACTAAATATAATTTCGGTGGTCAGTATCCAAGAGCGATCGCTCCCGCTTCCTGACCAAGCCAGTGGTGTAAGCTTTGATATGTTGATTATTATAAAATAAAATGTTAATTACACTCTGACTTTTTGACCGTAATATATGAAAATGTCTTTAAAATTGTAAAAGTTAAAGCTATGAATAAATTTTATATAAAAACTTACCATTTAATAAATTTTGTTCATTTAACTTCTCAGAGCAAACATTGAACTTCTGTAAAGAGTTTGTAGTTACAGGTAAATCCCAAAGTTTAATAATATTTTTAGTTTTATTATAAGAAATTGAGGATAAATCATCTACACCAAGATATACACAATTTTTTGTCTCTTTAATCTTTATTTTGGCTGGTTATTTTCGCTATCTTCCTTTTTTGTCTCTAGAGCAGAAGTTTAGCCTTCTGCTAAATTCAATCTTGTATTGCTATAAAAATCTATAAATCAAATTATTAATAATTAAGTTATAACGAAAGTTAATGTATAAGCTTAAAGTTGTTAACTGCTGTATGCAAACTAATTATGAAAAATATCCAGAGATATTAAATCTAAAATTATAAAACCAAGAATAATGTCCCTCTGCCTCTGAAAGATGGAATATATAAAGGGTTGTTTCAATTTAAATCATGATTTAAATCAGACAAATAAAAATAATGATTTAAATTGAGTCTTTTTATTTCAATTGATTTTAATCATTATTTATTGATTTAATCTCATAATTCAATAAATTATTATAGACTAGTCATTGGTCTTAAAACAAAATGTCTGGCAATATTAGAAAGCTCTACATAAGTAGAATATAAATTCTAATAACATCACTTTTTGTACACTGTTTTAATATTTTAGTAGATGGGGTTTCACAATCAAACAAAAAAGACATACTTAAAATGTAAAATATCAGCTTCTAACAACTTCAATGCCACATATATATTACTGATACCTTTAATAAAATATCTTATAATAGCTATATAATCTAAACTATTATAAATAAATTATGAAAAATTTTTTTTTTTTTAATACTTATACTGTATGACATTTCAAATGTTTGATATATTTAATAAAGAAGAATTTAAAATGTCTTCTTTATTAAATAAATCGAACATTTGAAATGTTACATTTATTTAATTATTATATTATTATATATTTTTATTTAAACTCAATTACAGTTGAACAACTTTGCCTTTAAAATTACGATTACTTTTACAATTTATAAAATAAATTCGAAAAAGTTGTTTGTTGAATATGTTGGCCCCTATAATATGAAAGCCTTTACTTCCTTGTCGATTCGCCGCTTTTTTGACAATAAGGTTCGAGTCATCGTTCATTTTAAACATATTAGCCAAAGATGGATGGCACACTCCCGACAATGCCGACATTACTATTTTTGTTGCATGAACCTTTCTTCGCTCCCCCAAGGTGTCAAGCTTTAGTTCTTCCAAAAGGGGAGCTGAATGAGTGTTCCTAGGTTTGTGACATACAATTCGCACACACTGCTTTTGTATAACGTCAAGTCTCTTTAGTTGTGCTTTGGATTGACCAAGGTACAATATGTTGGCATACTCTAGTTGACTTCGTATAAGTCCTGTATACGCAATTTTCAAAAGTTCCCTTGGAAGCCTGACAGATGCTTTTGCCAATATTCCCATACTAGAGTGACATTTTTTAACGGTTGAATCTATTTGTTCTTTGAATTGGAGATGTTGATCTATAGTGACCCCTAATAGCTTCACATGAGTTACTGGTTGAACCTCAATATTTCCAATTTTAATGTGTAAGTTATCAGGAAGTTTTTTTCTCAGTGATTTGAAAACTATAAGTTGCGTTTTACTTATGCTTGTGGAAGTTCTCTCATGTAGATTTTAAATAGTTCAGGACTAAGACCACCACCTTGAGGTACGCCTCTTGTTATTGACTTCCATTGGGTAATCTTATTACCGTTTTTCACCCTCTGAACCCTTCCTTCTAGGTAATTTTGAAATAATTTACCAGCTTTTTGGCTTAGCCCTATTTTAGCAAGCTCATTTAGTAGGTTTTGATGTGGAACACTGTCAAATGCTTTTGTTAAATCTATTAATAGGGTGCCTACAAGTTTTCCTTCATTTAGCGAGCTATACCAGAAGTTAGTTGCTGTTATTAATGCTGTTTCACAGTTGGAGTTTTTCCTGAAGCCAAATTGCTGGATTGGTATTAATATCTTAGCTTCACTATATTCGTATAGTTGTCTGCATATTATTTTTTCATAAACTCTCGAAAGTAATGGTAATACTGAGATTGGGCGATAGTTTTCCAGATCAGATTTACTGCCTTTTCCCTTCCATATTGTTGTAATATTAGCTTTTTTCCAGATGTCAGGAAATACACCCTCATCTATAGATTTGTTTAGAATGATGGTTAGATTTGTTGCTAGAGAATTGGCGATTCGTTTGATTAAAAAAGCTGAGAGTCCATCATGCCCAGCTGATGAGTTGTTTTTTATTTGGTTAAGTACGTTCAACACGGTTTCTATTTTTACTTTCTTAAAACTAAAGCTGTCGATTTGATCACATCCGTCTGGCCATACAAGTGAAGTCCTGTCTTTGCATTGAACTATTGAAGCTAGATGGTCATTTAGATTGTCTAAATTGATTGTATTTTTATCAAGGGTACGATTTTTATCTTTAGTATTGAAACACATTTGCTTAATATATTTCCAACCATCTTTAGGGTTTTTGCTATGAAATGCTTCTGTTCCTTTTTCTATTTCAAACTTCCTTATAAGGCTTCTGATCTGTTTTTTAATATCCTTAAGTTCTTTTTCTTTTTCATTTGTAAAGTCTATATATTTTCCCCTTTTTTTAGCTAAATAATCTCTTCTTTTTATCATAATTTTTATTTTTTCATCAATCAATTGAGGTCTAGTTGTTCGGTATGGAAATTTTTCAACTGGAGCAAATTCGTCTATAATTATTCTAATTGCATTATACCAAGTACTTACTAGTTTGTTTGTTGTCATTGATAGCTCAAGTTTAATTAATTCAATTCTTTTATTGAGGTCTTCAATGTTTACATTTTTAAATGATCTTTTCAATACGGGTTTCAGTTTATTTATAATTGAATCTGTTTTAATTAATGCTGATACAGGAAAATGATCACTAGTTGAGTTGTTATTTACTTTGTACTTAAGGCACTCTAGATTATGATCTATAGCAATAATGTCAAGGCATGTGGTACAGGTATTTGATATTCTGGTGGGCTCAGTGTTCTGAATCGTCACTCCTGCTAGGTTAAGTGAACATAATAGCGATTTACCTGGATTGACACTTGATTTAATGAGATCTGCATTAAGGTCACCCATTAAAATTAGATGACATTTTTTGGAGATTTCTTTTATTAATTCATTAAAATTTTTCCACCATTCATTTTTTGCTTGAGGAACTCGATAGACACTTAGCAAGACAATAGGTTTTGAGCGCTTTGACATTACCAGTTATAATATTATAAATTCAATATTCAACATAAGATACTTATCATCAAATTTATCAATTTTTTTAAATTTAATTGATTCTATAACATAGTTAATAAGTCCTCCTCCATTACATGTCCTGTATTTTCTAATAGCTACATATCCTGGAATATCTATTGCAGTTGTAGTAACATTTGAGTCTATTTTGAAATTTTTGCAAAATATTAAGCCTAAACTACATTGGCCAAATGTTGGCCCAACGTAGTACGATAATTACAAAAAACCGATTTGTAGAATTACAATATTACGCCGAAGAAAAAACATTGGCTAAACATTGGCCCAATAAAGTACGATATTTGCGAAAAACCGATTTGCAGAATTGAAAATAATACGTCGAAAAAAAACATTGGCTAAATGTTGGCCCAACGGAATAAACTTGCCAATGTTAAAACTTACGTTGGGCCAATGTAAGCTTGCTGTCTGGGATATATATAAAAATATTCAAATATAATTGCTGTAATTAGTCTTTTTGCAATTAAAAATGTTATCTATACTTAAAATTATATTTCAAGCTATATGAGTAATTTAATTTTTCCTGTAAAGCGAATACAAAAATTAAATGTTTGAATACCCCCCACGTAACATTTTTAAACTTACGGTATAGGCCCAACGCGAGTTCTACCGCCGGCAAGCATATATCGGTTTACTGCTGGCAAATGGCACTAGCCCAATATATGCTAAACTGTCGGAAATAATTTTATGCAACATTCGCATCGGCCGAGTGCATGGTTTAATGCCGGCAAATCATGTCGATATAGTAATGGCATTTAGTATTGGCCCGACATATGCGAGACTGACAACTGAGTTTTATTAAATATAACGGGCCGACCAAGTTTTATTGAATAAAAGGGCTACCAAATGCTATTAGTAAAACAGAATTCATAAACCGAAAGCGTGGCAAATGGCATAACTAAATTTACACAAACTAAATGGAGAATAGTGGAAAGTCTTATTCTACTAAGAGAAGAAAAATTCTTAAAAAGGTTGCTACTCATCTTACAAACATATTCGACCATTCACAAAGTAATAACATTTTGATTGAACAAAATTTTACAAAATGTACAACTGTTACAGATAGTCAAATCAATACCTGTGATACTAATTTAGATAATGATATATGTCTACCTAATTTTGCCATGAACATTGCTGGATTACAAAGTTATACTAACACTGATTACGATTATGTTGGTATTTCCGATTTTTCATCTCCATCAGACTTACATTCTTCTTCATGTTCTGATAATGAGAGCAAAGAGTCCTTTTCTGCAATCGAAGATTGTCTATCATCAGATCTTGGTCAGTGGGCATTAGGTAATAATATTAATAATTTAGCTTTAAAAAATCTTTTGAACATATTGCATCCACTTCATCCCAATTTGCCAAAGGATCCAAGAACTTTACTACACATTAAATCAGTTAGTAACGTCAACAACATTACTAACCATGTCATTGTTTCGTGTACTAGTGGGGGCCAATATTATCATTTTGGCTTGAAAAATTCAATTCTTTATCAGATTACTACTGGACATATTAAACTTACTAAACAACATACACTCCTCCAAGTACAAGTTCACATCGATGGACTATCTATATACAAAAGCTCAAACTTCCAATTCTGGCCGATATCAGGGATAATATGTGAATCAAAATGTAAGTTACCATTTATCATTGGACTTTATGCAGGGCCGCATAAACCACAAAATATTGACGAATACATGAATGATTTTGTAAATGAGTTTTTACACCTTCAAAACAATGGATTTAACGTAAATGAAAAACATATAAAGGTTATCATTTATTGTGTTCTGTGTGATGCACCTGCACGAGCCTTTGTCAAATGCATTAAATCACATAGTGGATATCATTCGTGTGAAAAATGTAACCAACGAGGTGTTTATGATTTTCATAAAATAATATTGCCAGAAAGTAATGCTCCATTGAGGACTGATACTGCATTCAATGAAAACATAGATGAAGATCATCATACAAGAGATGCACCATCACCATTGCAAAAACTCAACCTGGGTTTAGTTAGTCAATTTCCTCTTGACTACATGCATCTGATTTGCCTTGGTGTTGTTCGAAGGTTGGTTTTGTCTTGGCTTTCAGGTAATTTAAAATGTCGTTTGCCTGCTGCGACTGTTCAAAAGCTTTCAAGTGCATTAATTAATTTGCAAATTTGTATACCTAATGAATTTCAAAGAAAACCTCGTTCCTTAGATGAAATTAGGCGATGGAAAGCTACAGAGTTCAGACAGTTTCTTATTTATACTGGGCCTGTTGTATTAAAACAGTTTCTTGATCCTGCTGTCTATAATCATTTCATGTTACTTTCAGTTGCTATATTTTGTCTATGTCATCCAACTTTATGCAAGGAATATTGTGCATATGCTGATAACTTACTAAAATACTTTGTTAAACATTCTCAGTTGTTATATGGACGCCAGTTTCTTGTGTACAATGTGCATTCTTTAATTCATTTAGCCTCAGATGTTGAAAAGTATGGCCCATTGGACACAATTAGTTGTTTTCCTTTTGAAAATAGTTTACACAAGTTAAAAAAGTTGGTACGTTCATCTCGTCTTCCTCTACAGCAAGTTGTCAACAGACTCAAAGAAAGAAATAATAGTTATACACAGCCAATTTGTAATGATTTTCCTATTTGTAAAAAACTGCACTCCAATGGTCCTATTCCTGAAAAATACAATTCTGTTGAAGTTAAACAGTATATGGTGTTTCATACTAGTTCATTTAAGCTCTCTATGTCTAAGTTGTGCGATAGTTATATTAGCGTTAACAATATTTATGGAAAAGTTATGAATCTTATACAAGTAGATGAAAAACTTTTTGTTGTTTTCAATGGTTTTTGTGACTTATCTGCTTTTTTTGAATATCCAATTCCTTCTAGCCATATTGGCATTTACAAAGCTACTAGGTTATCATATACTCTAAGTGTTGCTCCGCTTTCCAGTGTAAAAAAATGTATATGCTTAATAAGTGGTTTTGATTATATTCTTGTACCTCTTTTACATAATTAAATAAAAAGATTTGTATTTAATTTTACTATATAAACTACTATGACTTGCATACTCCACATTTGTATACACACACTTGTTGCGTACATTCAATTTTGTTTATCAGAAACTTTTTTTAATATATATTTTAAAAAAACATTTATTTGAATGTAATATTTGGATACAAATATGTTTTTTTATATTTACTAAAATATATATATATATAATTTTTTATATTTGTATTCAATTTTCGAATACAAATATTTTATTTTTGTATACAAGATTTGATGTTTATAATATATAAAAATGTTTAATGAAAAATATGGATAGATGAATTAAATTAGGCAAATATAAAACACTTGTCAACTAATTTACACTTGTGTGTACACTTGTGTTCAGTGGTAACTGTTACCCTATTCTTTTTATACGTATACATATAAGTATATTTTTATATTACAATTTTATATTATATTTATATAAAGAATTTATATCACAGTTAAAAGATATAATTAATAAAACTATCATGTCTTTATGGTCTGTTGTGTTTTTTCCTGACAGCCGAAGTTGAAGTGGTGCCTACAATTTGGATTAACTGAGAAAAAGGCATTGTTTATTGTAAGTGGCCATCTACATTAACATGTCGTAATCCAAGGGATGCTGTAAAGAAAAGGATAAATCCTGAGCAATCTTGGCTGTCATACAATGTTATGATAAAATATCATACAGATTACTAGTTTATAACATTTATACAAATTTATATAAATAATTTAGGCTTTTTATATCTAGGTTCTTGTTATAATTTCATATAAAAAATATTTAACAAGTTTTCCAATGATAATAACAAGTTGTATTTTAATTGGTTTTAGATGATTATTTATTAGCGTGTGAAAAATCCAAAAAAGGTGAGCTTGTGTCTGATCTTACAAGTTCTGGATTATCTGAATCAGAGAATCTTACAACTAAAAATAGGTACTTATTTGCTATAGTGAATACATGTATTGGTTTTATGTTAAAGTATGTGTACCTGGTATTATAAATTATAGTGAAACAAACCTAATAATAAGATATCATTTGTATAATCTATTATAAATATATTATGTTATAAATATATTTGAAGACAAAACAACAAAATAAATAAAGGATAATTAATTTTTATTTAGGAAAAGAACAATAAAATATTTTGAATTTGAAAGCAGTAGTTGTAGTGAGGATAATGAGTATAGTAGCACTAACAAGATTAGCATTAAAAAAAAAAAACTAACAAAACTTCCAATGCCAGGTGCTATACCTTTGCCTCACCCATCACATTCTAGAGTTATAGAAGGTAAAATTATTTCAAACATTTGTATTTTATTTGCAATAAGTAATTTATATATATATATATATATATATATATATATATATATATATATATATATATATATATATATATATATATATATATATATATATATATATATATATATATATATATATATATATATATATATATATATATATATATATATATAATTTCAATGCTTAAATGATATGACTTTAGATGTGACTCCATCAGAATCTTATGCTGATATCTCCCCTATGCAGCAATGTAGCATGAGTACTTCAAAATAAGGTCTTAATGATATAATTTTTTTCTTAAATGCTGCTACAGTCCATTGAGGTTTTAGGCTGGGGCAGTAATAAGTTTCTTGGCATTATTCTTTGTATACCCAATGTCTGATGTTATTCTGTTTTTATATCATTTAGTTACCGAATCCACAAAAGTAGTTAATGATATAATGACTTCAGGTAAAGATGTTTAGTTTGAATAAACTATTTGTAATGTTGAGTTATGTAGATTTTTATACTATATATACAGAAAATATCAAAATTTTGTTCTACCTTATATCTTGTTTTATTTGGAAAACTCAGTGATTTCAAACCAAAATTCTCCAACTCAATGTAAAAATGTCAGCAATGCTATATCAAACGAAAATACGTATTTAAAAGGTACATATATCTTTATGATTAGGTTACTTTTTGTACTTTTTGTCTATTAATTTCAAGTTTTTATTTTTTAGCTCTTTCACAAATTTTTGTAACATTGGAGCAGATAAAAGCTCAAAATGATGTTATTATAAGTAATCAAATGCACCAATTTGCTAAGCAGAATATGGAAAGTGGTAATGTAGCACTACCACTTCTAAACAATTTACAATTGCCCTTGGAAACCGTTGATCAATTAACACAGCTAGATGATTTGTGTAAAGATTGTGGTACTTACAGCAATTTAGTATGACTTAAAAGTTTGAGTTTATGTAGGATTTAAAATTTATTTATAATCATATTGTATAAATATTTTATATTTTAAATTATGTAGGATTTAAAATCTATTTATAATCATATTATATAAATATTTTATATTTTAAAATTACTCTATGGTTAATAGGTTGATTTTCTTTTTTTTCAGTTTTGTTAAAGAATCAATGTTAACACTCCAAAATGTTATGAAATTTTAATAACCCTTGAATTCGGTTGATAAATTTTAGGTTAAACTACTCTCCAAAGTAGGCGGCAGTGATGAGGTTGACACGACGAGACGAGTTATGAAACGTCTCATTTCAACAAAGCTTGCTTGTCTTCTTAATTGGAAAGGGGTTTGCGCGAAGCATGGTTTTGGAAAGTTACGTTTAAAATCGGTTGTTGAAGGTATGTACTTTTCTAATTTAAATTCTCATTACTTTATCTGTTTTCATTGGTCATATTTTATTCACTCTTATAGTACCATTGTCTTTTTGAAAATAATTGTTATGAACAAAAATATGATTTGTTACATGTTACTTTACGTTACATGTTACCCGAATTTATATTTTGTTAATTTTGGTTTTCACTCAGATGCGGTCCGCCAAAGTCCTTCTTCAGTTAATGCAAAAGAGGCATCTATCGAAAAAAATATTCAAAGTTGGCTTCGACAAGCTGTAGATAGAGATGGTGGCCGTCAACGAAGATATGAAAAATCGAAAAGTAAACAGACTACTAATATTTTATTACCTTGAAAATACTATATTGTTAAAATATTATTTAATTTTGTAATGAAAACATTGAATTTTATTAAATTTAATAATTTTAATTGTTAATTTTTTTTTTATATATCCAATTACTAAATTTCGCAAGATTTACTTAGTTTGATTAATGTAAATAAAACTAATAAATTTAAAAAAATGCTATGGATGTATCCTACTTTTACTAAGACCAAAGAACTTTTTTTCTATCGACCCAATGCAAATTTTATAACGGCAGAATGCCAGTTTGACCATCGGCCCAACGGAGGTTTTAATATCGGCGTAATACAAGTTTTACTATCGGCCTTCTGCAAATGTTGCTATTGGCCCAATGATAGTTTTAATGTCGGCCCAGCGCAAGTTTAATGCTTTTTGCCGCTTCTGGCCCGCTGTTGGGCCGATAATCAAAACGATGCAGGACCAATGCCGGCAGCCAGCACTGGGCCACTGCTTTTGTCAGCTCTGGGCCAGCAGTGGGCCAATGTTAAAATGTTACATGGGTACCCAAGATGTATATAAGACAATAAAATAAGTCAGTAAAAAAACATGGTTTAAATGATGTCAAAACTATATAAACAATTTTTATTAATACAAAATCACAATAATAATACAGTATTTGTATTTACAGTATAAGTAATCCGTATTTGTTTGTGAACCATCATAGCGGCTTATTTACAATTTATTTTTAGTTAAAGCTAGTGAGGTCAGGTCGGAACACCGAAGAGTGTGTAACCGGCACATCACACTCTTTAAGCAGAAAGCAGAATTTGGTGTCGTCCTTAAATTACATGACGCAATTTTTTGACTTCTTTTGACCCCTTCTTCCCCCTCCTCCCTTCCTTCCTCTTCCTTCCTCCTTCTTAACGCATTGTAACATTTTATTAACTTCCCGCCCTCAAATTTACGCAACAATTTTGTAAACCCCCCCTCCCCCTTCTCTAAAAAAAATTTTTTAAACGTCTTTAAATATGTCTATAATTTTCTTAGCTCCTTTGAGTAAATTAATTAGTACTTTTCAGTCTATTTAATGTTTTTTTTTACCCCAATAGTAGGGTGGTTCTAAAAACAACTTTTTTAAAAAATGACTGCTGGCAACCCCTGAATATGCTGTATATAATAAAAAATGCTAGATTTAAAAAATTTTTTGATTAAAAGATATTTTAAGGGGTTGCTACCGACCCTCAAACTTTAAATAGGACCCTAATATTATTTTTTAAAAATGTATGTCATGTTGGGTCTCAAACGAAGCAAATATATAAAAAAATTTTAAAAATATCAATAATTTTATAATTAAATTTCTATTTCAGTTTTTAGTGAACAGAAAATTATGTTTTTTAACTAAAAACGAAAAATAGAGAGTTTAACAAAATTTTTTGATTATAATTTTTTTTCTCGATGTTTTTTTTTTTATAAAATATTATTATTAAAATTTTTATATAATTTCGCTTCGAAACTTTTTTTTTTATAATATTAGGGACCTATTTAATGTTTTAGGGTTGGTAGGAACCCCTTAAAAAAAATTTTAAATCCAGCATTTTATTATTATATACAACTTATTCAGGGGGTATCAGCAGTCATTTTCAAAAAAAGTTGTTTTTAAATAATTCCGTGTAAAATTGTATAAATTAACATTGCTATCCTAAACATCATCTAAAATTGTATAAATTAACATTGCTATCCTAAACATCATAAAATTTTAAATTGTTATTTTTCCTGTATAAACTTGCAAAAATACTATTTATAGTTTTCTCACTTTATGCCATTTTTGCTTAGCCGAGTGGATTCCGCTTCCAGCTAGAATACTAAGCGTTTCAGCTTCGTCTCTCGAAAATGAAGTCTTTCTTTTTTTTTTTAGTTAGTGCACAAAGGTTGTTTGTTTTTTGTTTTAAATCTAGAGAAGACTTTCTTTTTATTAAAAGAGTATCTGACTAAACCCTAACCCTCAGTTGATGTACTATTTTAATAGTCCAATAACCCTGTTAATGGACTATTACAACTGTAGGCGCAACGCGTTGCCCCTACTGCTGTATAAGTCCATTAACAGGCTGTAACTACTCCGTTAATGGAGTGTACACATTGACTAAGTAAGATTTAGGTGCAATTGATTTTACAATCAAAATGTAGATACATCAACTGAGGGTTGTGGTTTAGTCAGATTTTTTAATAAAAAGAAAGTCTTTTCTAGATTTAAAACTTAAAAAAAAATGTTGCGTCATAAAGTAGGAGACCCCCTCCTACCCTTCGTAACAAATTGTCACAAAAAATCGCCTACCCCTTCCCCCTCCCCCCTAAAGCGTAATTTATGGACGACCCTATTTTTCAATCAATTTGTATTTCGGAGAGCTAGCCATAATTATAGCAAGCTCTCTGAAATACAAATTGATTATATAAGCACCGTAATTCAATGCGTTCTTCTTTAGAGTTACATAACTTTTGACCAAACAAATTTATATTAATAAACTTATAGAAATTAATAAGGGTTTGTTAGAAAACCTTTATATGCTAATACAAAATTAAAAATTTAGGAGTCCCGGAGTCCCAACAATTTTTATAATGGGTGAGACTCCGGACTCTGGGTAAAAGACAGAAACTCCTGGGCTCCGGACTCTGACTTCATATTTCTGCTTCTTGGAGCACCTAAATAACTAAAAAAAAAATAATAAAGTTTATTATAAAAATACTCAAAAACTTATTTTGATTCTTTAACAAAAAAAAAAAAAAAAAATTCTAGCAATTCTAGTAAATTATAAAATAAATACCTTTATGATTATGCATAAACAAAATATTCCAGTCAAACTATCATTTGAGCTTGTTGTGTTAAAAAAAAATAGTTGTGGACAATGTATATATTTATCCTAACATACACCATATTTTTCTAGTGGAAAAAAAAAATTTTACAACACCTTGTAATTTCAAAGTACACAATAGATACAAGAAACTCTTTGTAATGTAAACAAAAAATAAAAAAGGTATTCCTTTTTTGTTTTCACAAAGCACTGTTTACATTGCTCGTAAACTTCCGGTTATTTTCTTTGAATAACCGAAATTTTGAAAATCATTTTTAAATTGGCCTATTCAGGTGCGGATCCATATCATTTAGAAAAGGTGGGCAATTTTTAGGTATCTTTGATTTAGTGGAACCAAACCATCTAGTTTAGGTGGGATTAGGTTTGCTTTAACATCATCATTTGTGCGGAAGTGG